TTTCCGTTATTGAAAAAAATCTTGCTATGAAAAAAAAAATGTCAGCCAAAATAGAAGATGTGCCAAATGACATTGTAACAATTGCAGATTAACTCAATGGTAAGGTAGTGCATTCTAGACTATTTTCTTTACTCTGTGAAAATATGGAAGATGAATTATAAATGACTTCCATTGCATATTGAAGCACAATGATTATAAAAAGAAAAGTTGAGAATGCTTGATCTATAGAAGAAACTCTTAATATTTCTTCAAGATAAGAAAACTGTTAGGTCTTATCTTTTTAAAGAGGTGAATTGAATGGCTGGACTTACTTATTTGTCTGTTATCTTTGATATTATAATGATCCTAATATTTCCCTGACAGGTAGGAGTACAGAATGATTTTCAATGGCTGATAAGATCAAAGGACAAAAAATAGTTAAAAGCTTGGGAGAATGGTTTCTACAGATTGTTATGACGTGTTCCATAACTTAACAACAATCATCAAATAAGTCATGATTGTGATATTCCAAAAATGAAAAAAGTTATCACCAAACACCTCATACATTTTGGCAGAATTTTTTCATTTTACTTTTCATTAAAAGAAGTCAATTATATAAGAAATTCATTGATACGACAGTCATTCCTTTCATTGAGAGATCATTTAAATATAACTTCATGGGAAAAAGTTTTTGAGATGGTAACTGATAAAGGATTAAAAATAAACTTGAAAATAAAATATCACATCATTTACTTCATTTTGAATAAAGATCAAATGTAAATATCCTTTTTACTAAAATTCCCTTAAAAATCATTCTTACCCCTCTATCAGCATACTTCTATAAAACTGGCTTCTTTACTGTCAGTGTTATTAAAATACAAAAACAATTTAGATTTACATTATCATTAGTGAGAAGCTCTGTGACCAATCCAAATGATCAGATACATTAACAAGCATAAAGCATGCTTATTTGTCTTATTAAGAACTTTAACACTGAACCATCTGCTTCTTCAATGTATACATTAAGTGCTTAATGGTGGAACTTATTCTTTCACAGGTAGCTCTTTGTTTAGTTACAATTGTAAAATGACAAAAGTTATGATTATATTAACAATTTGCCCATATACACACTTTTAAGAAAGGTGTACAATTTTCAATGTTATTTTATTATTAATATTTATTTATATATTTATTGAAATGTGATTTTATATCTGCTGAATATCATACATTTGTATTTTGTATATATTTTTTTAAAACATAACTTTCTCCTACTTCATTTTATAAGAAAAGTTTTATTTTCAGGAGAGTTTCAGTTACAGAAAAATTCCAGAGTTGGTACAGAGAGCTCCCATGCACTGTTATAATTTGGGTGTAAGATATCCCCACCTTAATGCAGGGATATTCAGAGGTGCAATGACTGATTATAAGAGCTTTAATCACATCAGTCCCTCTTAGTTTGAACTGACTGACTGGGTGGTAACTGTAGGCAGGTGAGGTATGGCTGGAAGAGGTGGGTCACTGTGGGTGTGTCCTGGAAGGGTTCATCTTCCTTGTGGGAACCCCTGACTACTTCCTGGCCACCATCAGGTAAGTTGTTTTTCTCCCTTTGTTCTTGTGCCATGATGTGCTGCCTTACCTTGGCCAAAAGCAATGCAATTGGCCATCTATGACCAAGACCTCTGAAACTGTAAGCTCCCTAAAACTTTTCATTCTCTGAGTTGTTCTTGTCAGGTCTTTTGGTCACAGTGACTACATGCTGACTAACACATATACCCTATAATTTCCCTTATTATTAACATTATTATTATTATTAATAACAGTAGTACTAACATTGGTATTTATTGTATATCTGTTACAATTAGTGAACCAATGCTAAACTATTCTTATTAACCAAATTCACAGTTTATACGGGTTTCCTTTATTTTACTTAATGGGCTTTTCTTTTCCAAGATCCCATCCTGGAAGCATTACATTTAATTGTGTCTTCTTAAGTTTCTCTTGTCTATGAAAGTCTCTGAAGCATTCCTTATTTTTTGATGACTTTGAGGAGTACTTGTTGGGTATTTTGTAGAATGTCCCTCAATTGAGATTTGTCTGATGTTCTTCTCACAATTAGAACGATGTGCTAGTGATCTGTTTTTTAAAATCACATTTTATAAAAGCATTGATGTATGGCTCTTGTCACAGATGATTGGTGATGTAGCACTCAGGTAAAACTAGGTCACTCCTAGAGTTCAGGCCACATTGAGTGACCCAGGGGAGAGGTTCATCCAGCCTCCTTTGGAGTCTAGAGACTTTTGCTCTCATGACTTTCCTCCAATATGTTTCAGTTCCACGCCTCTCATTGATCTTCAGATTTCAGGGAAGGGAATCTAATGAACTCAACTTTGGAAAAGGCAATTAGAAAATGTGGGGTGATGTCGGGGTGGGTTTGCAGAGGTAGGCTTTACTGGTATGTCAGACTGGGAGATTTTTTTTTCTTTTTTAGCTTACTCACCTTCACTTCTAATTCCCAAACCCTAATTATTTTATTCTTCTTTTAGGGTATGAATTTTTCTCCTTTCTTAAGGGGGATTTTCATTTACTATCTCGTCAAACAGAGAAATCCAAGGGATGGAACTGATCTCTATTCTTTGGTTTTAATCAGAGAATAGAGCCTTATTTTTAATCAGAGAGTTCTAATCAGCTCCAGTTCTACTTCTTTTCTCCTAAATATATTCTCTTCCTGTTGCTTGCTTCAATGTTCTCTTGAAAGAGTTAGACATTGCAAACATGATTCATTGATTTGCCCATTATGATGTTCTGTGGGTAATAAATATGGAATTGCTAACTAATATCTACGTCCTTCTCCATCTGGGCATCTGCCACAGCCTCCTAACTGGCCTCCTTGCCTTCAGTCCATGCCCCCTCAATGCAGCCTGCCCAAGAAACCCAGGGTTTGTAGGAGCACAGCTGACCTTATCCTTGTCTTACCCTCCACTAGCCTACTGTGGTCTCAGTAACTGTATCATGTGAGAACTTGCTAGAAATGCAAATTCTCAGACCCCACCCAGACCTACTGAATCAGAAACTCTGGGGACAGGCCAAGTTTTCAAAACCCTTCAGGTAATTCTGAAGCATGCTAACACTGGAGAACCCCTAGCCAGTGGGACAAAACACATGCTCCTACTCCAGGGAAGCCAGCTTCTTCTCCCCCATTTCCTGCCTTGCATTTTACATGGTAGTAATGAGGAACCTTCTGAAGTTGCCAGCACAAACCATTCCCCAGCTGATTCTCAGTTGTTTACTCAATTAGGCCCCCTTGGTGGAAAGTCTCCCCACCTGCTACCTGGCTGACTCCTACTGACACTGCAACACTCAACTCGGGCCATTTCTCCAGGAAGCATCCTTCTCCACACCCTTAGGGGTTCCCTGGGAACTTGTGCCCATCTCATCATTAAACACAGCCCATCACATTAGGTTTTTCTACTTATTTCTATTTCTGCTGCTACATTATGAGTTATTTTCATGAAAAATTAGGCTTCATTCTGTGTGTGTGTGTGTGTGTGTGTGTTACTAGGGATTGAACACTGAGCTACATTCCTAGCCCCTTTTATAATTTTCAGTTTTTAAAAAGAATTTGACTGGGTCTTGCTAAATTGCCCAGGCTGACCTTGAACTTGGCTCCTCCTGCTTCAGCCTCCCTGGTAGCAGGGATTGCAGGCCTGTACCACCATGCCTGGCTTACTGCATTCATTTTTTATTCATAGTACCTAGTCCTGTGTTTGAACACATGACATATAGCTGTTTTTTTTTTTTTTTTTTTTTTTGACAATCACTGAGTGATTTCCGAATGAGTGAGGCAATGAATGAATAAATAGTTGTCAATGTTTCTGTCACATCTATGCTTCTGTTCCTGCATTCTCCTTAACCAAGTAAAAATTCCTTTTAAATCACTGGAATGGCAAGCACAGGGAATATTAATTCTTTCCCCTTTGCTTTTTCAGGTTATTAAATACAAAACAGATTCTTCCCATCTTATTACTTCCAATTTATGTATTTTAAGGCTCCCACACTTGGTCCAAAGTCCAATCTTAGCTCCTCTCAGTCATTGACATTATCAGATTGCCAATTTGGCAGGGGCAGATTCATCTGGTTGATTTCTGTCCCTTAACAGTGGACTGGTGCATCTGAGTGCATCTGAGTTTGCTTACGTGTCCTTAGGCAGATTGTGTTATCTGAATCAGTGCATGTGCTTTAAAAAAAAATTCTCAATGCTCTCTATGCTGCTAAGGTAGAAGTGTGTATTTAAAAGAAGCAAACATCTCACTACTCTTTGTCCATTTTCCTATTTCATCTTTTATTTAGGAGCCCTGTGTCTTTCCTGTATCAAAGGCATCTATATTCAGAGAAATTGGAAAATGAAACATTAAGTAGTCCTGTATAAAATGACAGAAGCAGAAAACAGAAGTTGGTTCCCAAAGTAATTTCTCTTCTTCTGCATCCATGCATCGCTGCATAATCCAGATCTGCTCATCTGCTTTCCCATCTGCTGTAGGACGTGCACAACAGCAGTCCTTTGGGGACTGTAAGGCTATGCTGATCCAGCTACATGTATCTCCCAGCTTTCCCTGGGTCATTACAGATTGCGAATAGAACTGTACCTTCTGGTCATGGGTTTGGCTAGAACAATAATAAAACAATAAGTAATAATGATCATGACAATTTGCTCTTTTAGTTTTTTTTAAATTTTTCAATAGGCTTTTTCTTTTGTCACATTTCCTTTTATTGTGATAGTGGAGGTGCATTTGGGAAAGTGTCAGTATTTAAAATTTATCCAGAATGAAACTGTAGCAGCAGATATTCAATTCCCTAAGGTTACATAGTGAGTTACTCATAGACCTGGAAGTAGAACCTCTTCGAATTCTCATTTAGTTACTGCATAAGAGGGAGCCAGGAAGGAAGTGGTCTGAGGGTACATTGTGCCAGGAAGTATGAAGAATATTTGTGCAGTATCAGCTCCAGGCACACTCCGATGGATGCAGGGGAGCAGTGGGTTTCAAAGCAAGAAGTGAGTCTGCTCAGCTTTGAATTTTTGCTCTTCCACTGCATAATTGTGCACACTGAGCAAGTCACTCAAACTCTCTGAACCCTAATTCCTCCTCTGTAAAATGGGGTAAGTAATAATTATCGTTTGTCATTGTTTTGCGGTTTAGATGAGTAAATGTGAAAAACCAATACTTTCACAAATGCATCTCAACTATCACAGTAAAAGGAAATGTGACAAAAGAAAAAGCCTATTGAAAAATATAAAACATCTAAGAGAAAACTATCATGATCATAATTACTTATTGTTTTTATTCTAGCTTAAAGTTAAATTATGCTTAAAGTTATAATAAGAAGCAATAAAGGTTAATTCCAATTATTATGCTCAAAATTCTTCTGTGAAGACATCTCTGAGTATATTAACGAAGTCATACTACTCTGTTTTTTTCTTTGAACCTGGGGCTTATTTTTTTAATGATACAACTTAGCAGTCTAAAAACATACTTGGTAATGCTCTTTAATAATTACTATAAGTATATTCAGCTTGTCTCCTTAATTATGTTGCAAACTCCAGAGCATACTCTATGCTGTTTCTGTCTTCTGAATCACTGCCAAGCCCTTAATTAATATTTGATCTTTGGATACAATGGCTTAGATTTCACAGTTCTTCAAAAATTGTTTTTATAAAAGACTGCCAGGCATATCAGGTTTTTATATACTTTTATGTAAGTTATAGTATTTGCATTTTGTAATAACACCGTGAAAACTGGGTGCAATGGCACACACCTGTAATCCCACTGACTGGGGCGGCCGAGGCAGGAGGATTGCAAGTTTGAGGGCAGCCGGGGCTATTTAATGAGACCCTGTCTCAAAATGAAAATAAAAATAGGTGTGGGGGGGAGCATCCTTGGATTAAATCCCTAGTACCAAAATAAATAAATAATAAAACAACACCATGCAGGTGAGAACATTTTCTTATGCCTATTTTACAGATGACAGATATGAACATCTGAGCATTTAAATAATATAATTATTAAGTTCATAGGCCAGAATTTAAACCTAGGTCCTCTGACTCCAAAATAAGACTATCTATCTATGTATGTACTACACACACATACATTAGTCTAAATTAAATGACTAACAGACCATTGAAAATGGGAGTTAAAGCAGGCATATTTACAAGGGGATAGAAATCAGGGTTTCAGTTAGAGAGTGATACAAATGGAGTTGGACCATGTCTTCCAAGCCCTCCTGGATCTCTGGGTCAAGGTCAAAATGGCCACTAGAACTTGTAGCAAGTTTCTCTTTCTTCTTGGCTACACCTACAAAGAAGCTGAGATTTTAGTAGCATGGCAGAGAAGGATTATTTTAACAACTTAAAAAACTAAAAACAAAGGAAAGCAAAAAGAAGAAAACAAACAAAATTTCACAATAATTTTCAAATATTTGTTAGGGAAGAAAGGTATTGTCCAATTATTTGGGGAAAATGCTTCTGAAATGCAAACATTTATTGTGCAAATATTTCATTGAAATAAAATAGACTTTCTGTTCAGTTTCCTAGGTCCAAGAAAGATGAACACCAATATTCTTTCGTATGTTCAGATTTGGAATATCCTCGAGTGACATTTAGAGAGACAGGTCCTCATTGTTGTGGCCTAGCACATGAACAGGGCCTTGTCCTCAAGGCTGCTTCTGTTTTTTTTTCCTCAGATTATTTTCTTCATCTCTAGAGTCAGAAAGAACAGCAGCATATGAAGGGATGGTAGGCTTTTGAAGGAAGCTTAATAAAGTAACTTTTCAAATGAGACAGCAAAGCAGAGAAAAGCCACTGGGGTGGGGGATGGGTTGCAGTGCAACAGGTGAAGTAATGGCGAGTGGAAGGCTGTCTATGGAGGACTGCTGGGGTGGGGAGGGGTTCTTATGGAACCCAGGGACAGAATTAGGTGGTGGGAACTGCCTGACTGGAGCAGGACACTTTCATTCCAGGACCTGCAGCGGGGAGGCCTGTCTCTCTGCAATCCCATTCATGCTCCTGTTTCCCACTGGCTGGACCCAACGAGGAGTCAGAAAGCCTGTTGATACTCTCTGTGGGTACAGAAAATAGTCGGTGCTGTTGGAATGTGTCTGCTCGATGTGGGTTGGAGAGGGTGGACAGAGATGAGGAGAAGGTGGTGAGGGCAACTGGAAAATTGCAGGCGTAACATTAGTGAGTCTTTGTCAGAGATGAGCATTTTATTCTGAGACAAAAGGCTCTGAGAGGTCAGCAATTTCATATTCTATTTGGATGCATTTCCTGGGCATGCAGAGGGATTCTCTCCTTGTCATTTGTTCTGTGTTCTGGGAGAATGGCTCTGCTTTAGAGTTGAAGGGAAAAAAAAATGAGTATGGTAAATAGAAATTTGTGCCCCTGCAGTTCTCTGGTATCTAAGAAGTCCTGAGTGAGGTGTGGTCATGAACCAGGAAGACAGTGATGTCTCTCTTGCTTTGTGGTCAAATAAAGGACTCCATTGTTCTTTGGAAGTATCTGCTTTGTCTTAAGAACCTGACATGTGGCTCTGTCTTTTCCACAAGTCCCTTCCCCTTTTATTTCCTTATCTGTGTTTTCCTCCTGTGCTGGCTGCAGGAGGGCAACCTGGGCATGCTCAGTCTGACTTCCTGCTAGGCTCTCTCGGACACTGAAATCTTCCAGTAATATTTGGCCACGGCAAGGAAGTTGCTGGCTCTTGTTTCTAGTATACTGTTCAGCAAAGTGGCAGCTGTCTCCTGCTTTGGGACTGAGGGTGAAAATAGCAGGCTCCCATTGCTAGTGCAGAGAGCCCTGGGAGAGAGTGCCCTAGTTCTGGTTACCTGAAGTGGTTAAGTCAGACTGGCCAACAGATTTTCCAACAAAAAGGCTTGAGAGTTTGAGAAAATTTTTTCTCTTCTCACTTGTTAGCTCTTTCTAAAATATTTGGATGAATTCACTGGTGAAGACTTTTGGGCCTGGAGATCATTTTATGGAAAGATTTTAAATTAGATGCAGTTTTTTTTTTTTTAATACATGACCAGTCAAAATTTTTGTATGTGTGTATACTTTTATATACACATATAAGTTGGATTTTTCAAAGGATTTACCTCTTTCATTCAAATTTTCATTGGGGGGGGGGGTCATATAGCTGTTTATAATACATCTTTTAAAAATTTCTCTACCTCATTAATCTTTGCTCTTAAATTTATTTTGTTTTGCTTGCATGTTCTTTTCATAGTTTTATTTTTATACTATCATTTTTTTAAAAATTGATACAGATGTTCAGAGCTATGAATTCATGAATTTCTTCTGATTCCATGGATTGGTACATTTATTAGTGCTCTTTTATTTTTATAATCATTATTATTTTCAGAATTTCTATTTACATTTCTCTTGCCCAAGAGTTAGAGGCCTTTTTTTTACCCCCTTATTTTTATTTTCTAGCTTTTTTTTTTGCATTGTTATTGAAGTGTGCTGCTTATAATATTTCTACTGAATGGAACCCACTGATGTTTTCTTGGAACCAAAGTACATGTTCAATTTTGATTCCTTGTTCACTTGAGAAGAAGGTGTATTTTCTTTTATCGGGGTAGAGTGTTTGATGCATGTCCAAAAGGTCCACCCTTTGCTGTTCAGATATTTTAGAACCTCAATTTTTGGCCTACTTGACCTGTGTTGTATTGAGAGTAGTGTGTGACAGTGTCCTATTGTTGGTGTGTTTCTTTGTATTTCTCCTTGTTTTGTCGATTACTTGTATTTTATATAGGTGGTTGCTAGGTTATTTGCTGTCTAGATATTCATGACTTGTATCTTCAATGTACTTTCAAATAATGTTAAAATGTCCTTCTTTGTCTCATTAAATGCCTTTTGGTTTGTGACCTCTTTGTTGTTGTTGGTTTGTTTTACCTGCTTCATTTTTGGTCACCCTTTTAATCTTTTTGAATTCCTCATTGTAAGTCTAGCTCATATATACTGTAGACTTAGGTTTTCCACTATACTTCAACTTGAAAATCTTTTCCATTAGTAGATAATTTTAGCCTGTTCACATTTATCCATGTGACTGTAATATTTGATCTCAAACATATTCCTTTATGTTAACTATGTACACCCTTCCACATTTACTATTTTTCCTTTTCACTTGCTTTAATGTTCTTGATTTTTAAAAATTTTCATTTTGGTATTTGAGAAAAATTTTAACTTTAATTCTAAATGATTTCCTTTGGGTTAATACATTTATTAGTGCTCTCAAATCCCCTTATATTTATTTATTTGTTTATTTATTTTGGTACCAGGGATTGAACTCAGGGGTACTCTACTACTGAGCAACATCCCCAGCCCTATTTTGTGTTTTTATTTAGAGACCGCGTCTCACTGAGTTGTTTAGCACCTCACTTTTGCTGAGGCTGCATTTGAACTCTGGATCCTGCTGCCTCAGCCTCTTGAGCTGCTGGGGATTTGAGGCGTGGGCCACTGTGCCTTGCAATTTCCTTTATTTTTACTTAAGTTTGAACTTCTCTCAGTTTTGAATGGTGTCATCTGACTCCCTCAGCCTGTGCAGTTAATGATGTTATTCTACTTTCTATTTTCTCCTTCTTTACTGCTATGGTTTAGGTGTCTTCCTTGGTCCTCGGCCTGCGGTGCTATTGGGAGGTGGTGGAGCCTTTAAGAGACAGAGCCTACTGGGAGGAGTTAGGTCACTGGGGTTGTGCCTTTGAAAGGGATGGCTATTGAGACCCCAACTCCTTCCTCTCTCTTTTGCTTTCTGACTTTCCTGAGGTAAACGGACCCCCCCTCTGCCGCATATTCCTGTCAAGATGTATTCTGGGTTGATTTTCCCATGTGTCTACTAAGAGGCCCTTTTAATTTATAGATTCGTGGGATTTATTTTATTCATGGGAATACCTATTACATTATTTTCTTAAATACGTTTGTTCCCCTTTTATTTGTTATTAAAATGCATTATTTGTAGATATCAGTGAGGTTCAGTGTGATATTTCCACGCATGCTTATAGAGTGCACTGATGAAGACCATCCTCCCTTTATCCCCACACCCTTCCAAACCTATATTCATCACTATTCTACTTTCAAATAGACATTCTAGGTTTTACACATAGGCAAGAACATGAGTTCTTGTCTTTCTGTCTGGCTTATTTAACATATGTCCTTTAGTTCCATCCATTTGGCTGCAAATGGCAAGATTTCATTCTTTGTGGTGAAATAATATTCCAATGTGTACGTATTACATTTTCTTTATTCAACTACCCTTTGATAGGCACCCGGACTGATTCCATCTCATTGCTATTTTAAATAGTTATATAGAATGCATAAAAACAAACAAAAAACCTTGATAACAAAAAAGCCACAAGTAATCCAGTTAAAAATAGGCAAATGATATGAATATATTTCAAAAGGAATACAAGTGGCCAACAGATATGTGAGATATGTTCAATATCAGTATCTTTAAGGGAAATGCAAATCCAAACTGCAAAGAGATATGATCTCATGCCAGTTAGTTTTTTTTACTTTTTTTTTTTAATTTCTTTTGTAGGGAGTCCATAAAATGAATGTTCAACTTTCTTTGTCTTTCTTTTCAAATAATTTTCTCTCTGGCCCTTTATATTTCTTGTGTTTCCTATTTTCAATTTCTTTTTCTTTTTATACTTTTATTTAATGCTTTTTATGAGGAGTTCATTCAAGACTTTCTAGGAAAAAAAAAAGTCTACCCTTTATTGAGATTTAGTCCTGTTTTCTGAAATAATTTTGTTTCTTTGTTTTTTTCTTCTTTTTCTTTTTCTGTTCTTTCCTGAGTTTATTGTCCATAGAGTGGTTTGGATACAGAAACCCTAGGATGTTGTGAATTTTTTTTTTTTTTCGAACTTTATGCTTTTATAACACCAGTGAAACCCTCACCAAAATGTTTTTATTTAGCTAGGCACAGCGGCACACTCCTGTAATCCCAGCTACCTGGGAGGCTAAGAGGATTGTAAATTTGAGGCCACCCTCAGCAATTTAGCAAGACCCTGTCTCAAAAAAAAAAAAAAAAAAAAAAAAAAAAAACCAAGAAGGGATGGGGATGTAGCTCAGTGGTAGAGTGCCCCTGGGTTCAATCCTCAGTATAAAAAAAAAAAAATTATTTGCTCAGTACAAACAGATGATATCTTCCAATACTAATATCTATCTTCTAGGATTGCTATAAGCATTGAATGAGTTAGTAATTGTAAAGTACTTGGAGTTGCGGTTGGCAAACTTTTTCTGTTAACAAATGTTTTTTAGCTTTGTGTTCCATAGGGTTTTTGTCACAACAATTTCAGTGTGAAAGCAGCCACAGACACTATGTAAATAAACGGGCATGGCTATGTTCTAATAAAGCTTTATTAGCCAAAATAGGTAGCAACTTAGATTTGATTCATGGGCCATAGTTTGTTGTCCTCGGGTTTAAACAAAATAATAAGTGAAATATAAATATTAATAAATGAAACTAATTGAATGAACTCCATGTAAAGGGGTATTTTTAAAGATGATTTTTCTAACAGAGTTGTACCACAGCTTTGTCCTAAAGACAAATACAATGAGATCTGCATAAATATACATAGGTATATGCTGCAGGGCCTAACCCCTTGAACCCACATGGAAGAATGCTTATCTTGCTCATTGTGCAACGGAAAGTCCTAACCTAGAACACTGTGTTTTTGGGACAAAGTGCTGTCAGAACACTGGAAAGCACAATTTCTTCCTGTTGGTGTGGGGTCAGGGTATGTGGCAGTTTCTGGACTCTTGGTGTCTTGACTTCTGTAAGATGATATGTGTGTATTACCCCTGGACTGTTATGACTGTTATATGTAGATCAGTACATACCTGCTATAAAAGCTGTTCTTGCTGCGCAATAAAGCAGATGCTGTTCTCTGAAACTGTCCTGGGAGTGGTTCCTCCACACCCACAAGCTTCTCACAGTTGATGTTGGAAGGTTAAGCCCTCTAGCAGGTATACACACAGACACGAAAAACACTCACCAAACCTTCATGCACACACTCATGCACTCCTACACACTTAGCTAGTCCATATTATGGTTCAATTGAACTGCTTATTTCATTCCTCACTGACTGTCCCTTGACACTGAGAACATGCTGGATTTTATTCTCACATGCTCTGGCTCCATATGCTGGGGAAAGGCAAACTAATTTTCAGCCTGGGCACATATTCACACTAGTGTATACAAAATCATATAACATTCCTAAGGCAAATATTTGTTTTGGAGGGCGGGTATTGGGGACTGCACTCAGGGGCACTCAACCACTGAGCCACATCCTCAGCCCTTTTTGTATTTTATTTAGAGACAAGGTCTCACTGGGTTGCTTAGTCATTGCTGAGGCCGGTTTTGAACGCTCAGTCCTCCTGTCTCAGCCTCCCCAGCTGCTGGGATTACAGGCCTGCGCCATCACACAGGGACTAAGTCAAATATTGATAATGTTGATTAAGTTCTGCTTTGGACTAACTACTTCATCATTTTTTTCATTAATGATAATAATGAGGATTTGCTTCATGTCTTATTTGTCAGCTTTTTGTCACTTTCACTAAAATACACCAAAAGATCAACTTAGAGGATGAAACATTTATTTTGATCTCATGGTTTCAGAGGTTTAGTCCATGGTCACCCAACCCCATAGCTCTGGGCCCCAGGTAAGGAAAAATATTATGGTGGAAGGGCATGGCAGAGGAAAGCAGCTCAGTTTGTGAGCCTGGAAGATTGTGGAAATCATGAGATTTGGGGGGACACCTCATATTCTAATCATAACATATGTAATTATCAATATGTTCTAAAGTATCTTTCTATAAATGATCACTTTGATGCTTTTTGTTGGATGATGAATTTTGGGTTGGTTCCATTGCAAGAATGTTTGGAGTCTTCCTTGGAATTGTGCATCACTGTGCAGATTAGTGCACCAAGATTAGTCCTAGTATCTCCAATGCAAGGACAGTGGACTAACTATAGAGATGCATGCTTGCATACACCTTCTCCATTAATTGCAATACATGGTGGTAACTAGACTCAGAAAGAAGTCTACTGGGAGACTTGGAGTGGGAGCAATTTCTTCCCTTGCATTTGTACTGTACCCAAGGCAGGTGGGAGTTTTATTAATCCTTTGGGTGATGGTCAGAGCATTGATGATGCTGACAACAATGAAGAATAATTAGGTTTGCCTTCAAACACAGAGAAGAGACTGATTTGTGCCACATGATGAGTTTTTGGCCACCTAGGGACTTGAACGTTTGAGTTTCCTGAGCCACTGCTGATTTTAGAAGTCCCACCTGCTGAAGGAATATCTTTACTTCCCAGGATGCAATCATAGGCAGGCCCTGACACAGCTAGAAAATCTGCTGACTGTAATCAGTGAGTCAACCAGCTGTTCCTAAAACAAGCTGACTGTCGATGTGCTCTCCTGCTCAAGTCAGACTCAACGTGGAAGAATAAGGAGTTCATTCAGTAATAGCGGAGCTGACTTTCCCCCCAGATCCAGAGGCGAAATTAAAGCAATACAACATTTTTGCCAGTTACATTCTGTTTGGAAAAGATGAATCATCCTCATGTTTGTACTCAAAGGCATCTAGTTAGAGGCAAGATGATTTGCAGACTAATTTTGTCTGCAGGAATCACCTTTGACAGCAGATCAATATCAGTATATGTGTTTGCTCTGGTGAGGAAGGAAAAAAAGCATACATCTTGCTGGTCAGGCAGGAGAAAGCTTGAGTTGCTACTTCTCAAATATATTATTGCAATATTTTTACCTAAGCCAAAAGGTCATATACCATAACATTTAAAATGCTAACAAAATCTTCATTAATGGTTTGAGTAAGCCCCAGTAATAACCTAACATAGCTGCTTACTCTCCATTTAATCAGTTTCAAATGGGTTGAGATTGCAGTTTAAAGTGCATCTATTTCCTGGATTTCTTCCCTTTTATCTTTCAGGTTCTGGATGAAGGAGTCTGGAAGCAGGCAAGAAGGACTGAAGGAAGCCGCCCAAAAGCAGAGCCAGTGTCAAGGACATGAAATGAACTTCAGAGGCCTGGGTTACTCACTGATTTATTTAGCTTTGGTGGCTAGGGAAGGATGCATGAAAACATTTCTGTAAACAAGAATCATCTTCAATAGCAGCATTTTCAGTGCAAGCTAAGGATAGAACTGATTGGTGGAAAATTTCATTGAACTTTAGATAAAAATGAAAGTAAGCAAGATTATTTCTATTCATTTTTATTATGAGAGAGTGAATATCATTGGCCAATTAAAATATTGAATGCTTTTTTTTTTAGTTTGGGGCCAGAATGACACATAATAATATAACAAATTCAAAGAAATTTATGCCCAAAGAATTCTTTAGTTGTCTTACTATTTTGCTTCCTCTCTTTCAGAGGGCTAGGCTCAGTAAGGACAGAGCCATGTTTTGTAATGGTTCTCTTTCATGATTTTTCTCATTTGGTAACCATTTGTGTAGATCTGAAAATTCTGTAAACTAGTCTGTCTTTTTGATTATACATGCAAAACCACTGCTGCATGATTGTTAATTATTTTACTTGACCATTCCTGCTTTCTTCACTATGCTATTATCATGGGAGTGGGTTAGTTATCTAGTGAGTTGGTTATCTTAGGAGTGGGTCAGTTATTATTGACAATGACTTTGTTATAAAAGTAAGCTCTCTTTCTCCCACATGCTTACTGGCTTTCTGTCATGGGATAAGGTAGCAAAAAGACCCTCACCTCATGATGGCACTTTGATACTGGACTTCCCTGCCTCTGGACTATAAGAAATAAGTGTATTTTTAAAATAAATTATCCAGTTTCTTTTTTTGTTATAACAGCACACACATGAGGACTCTCTGAAAGCCACTAAGCACTGTAAACTGACTATACCCCATGTCTAGCTAGCTTCAAACCTGTGTTGTTAACTTCAGCCCGAGGGTGTCCTCTGAAGAGTGAGAAGAAGGACAGCATTTTCTAAGCCATCATAAAATGTGACAGCCATTCCAAAGGTAGCCAAGTGACAAGCCCTTAAAAGGGTTGAGAATGTACATTGGCTCTGAAAAATGACTGAAAATGGAACCAGCAACAAAATAAGAACTGTTCCTAGGAGTCTTGTGGCTTTTTTCTGTCATGCCCTTATAGCTGTACTTATTTCTAGGATCTAAAATTTGGAGGCTTGTGTTCATGTTGTCCAATTTGATATCTCCCAGAAAACATGGAGTGTGGAGCAAGGAACTGGCACTTTTTTTTCCAAAGATGAAGTTTGCTCAGTGTGACAGCCCTTTCCCAGTTCTATTTTAAAATTCTAAAGAGGATTTACCTATGTCTAGAACTACCTAGAAACTTCCTATAAGAGCTGATCAGTTGGCATTTGCCATGATGCTGAAGCAAAGTTATCAATCCTCTTTTGACATTTTCCTTGAGGTCAGTTGACCCAAGTGGTTGAAAGGATGAAGCTCTGCAGGGTCACTTAGATTCCAGGATGGCACTTGGACTGCAAGGGACATTCAGAGAAGGTCCACCGTTTTCTTGATGAAGTTCTGGAGGTGTCAGCCGAGGCAACATTGGATTCTCCGAGCATTTCTCTCTTTCATTAGCAGAGGTAATTGGAATTGACGGGAGAGCCACAAGTGATTGCTTTCCTGGCCTCTTGGCCACCCTAACTCCTTCCATCATCAAATTAATTGTAGTTCACGAGGCAATTGTTTAAATGGCAGGGAACATTTAGAACCTGAACAGAATGCCTGGGAGAAAGGTTGCAATGTGGAGAGGAGAATTAAAGAATTCACATAGCTAGGTCTATTCAGGTCAGAGCCATTACATGACTCTTAAGAGACAAAGTACTGCAGGAGCTGGCCCAAGGAGCTGAATGAATGCCAGGGAGGAGGTCAGAAGAAGGCAGAGCCTTCAAGGGCAGTTGCAGTACCAGAAGCAGGTCATAACTGCAGCAGCTCTAAGACGAAAATGCAATGTTGAAGCAGAGGTGTAAATTACTTTATGTTGTAAATTGGTGGTGTTTGTCGTTGTTAATATTATTTGGCTTTGATGGTGATTGGGAGAGTGTGGAGCTGGGATTTATAGAGACTTAGAGCAAAATATCCTTCAAGGAACACTAATTCAGTTGGAAGTTAATAGGCGTTAAGAGAAAAAGAAATGAGATATGTTGGTCAAATAATTCTGGGAATTTTGACTGTCAAATAACCATGTCTTTCTCAAACCTTCAATATATATTTATGTGATTGAAATCCATGAGGTTTGTGTATCAGATGCAGGGTTTCCCCAGATTATCAGAGCATGAAACTAATCACAGCAGACCATCACTACACAGTTAGTCTTCAGGGGAACAAATTTGAGGGGATGTTGGTCTAATGCATGTAATACTATCTTGAAAATCAAGCTGGAGGGAAGTACTCAATTCTGATTTCTAGATATTTTAGCCAGTACAGAAAAGGGTAAAGAAGGTCAGAAAAATGGATATTTACCAACTTCACAATTTTTCCCAATCCTGGATCCAGCACCAGTATTTAAAATAAAATTCTAAAGTTATAAGAAAAAACTGAGGAATATAGTATATAAAAACAGTGGTCAGTTAATCTCTGGATAAAAAGAGAGATTCAAATTTAAGTCCAGCATTTAGAAATTCTGGAACAATTAGATTGGGTTCTCTTGTTTCAAGATTATTTCTTAATGGTTTTGTGGGATATGTTTTGTGGCATTCATGAGGACTGGATGCCATTGGGGTGGAGGGGAGGCAATCAGTTATGTCATCTAGGCTTTCTAAGTTATGGTTTGGATATGAGGTGTCCCCCAAAAGTTCAAGTGTGAGATAATGCAAGAAGGTTTGGAGGGGAAAGGATTGGGTTATGAAAGCCTTAACCTAATCAGTGAATTGATTCCTAATGGGATTAACTGAATGGGAAATGGAGGCAGGTGGGGTGTGCTGGAGGAAGTGGTTTGTTGAGGGCGTGGCTATGGAGTATATATTTTGTACCTGGAGAATGGAGTCTCTTTCTCTCTGCTTCTTGATCATCACATGAACTGCTCTCCTTTGCCATATTCCTCCGCCATGCTGTTCTGCCTCACCTGGAGCCCGAGAGATGGAGCTGGCCTTCTATGACTAAGATATCTGAAACTGTGAGCCCGCAAATAAACCTTTGCTTCTCTACAGTTGTTCTGGTTGGGTGTTTCAGTCACACTAGCAAAAAAAAGCTGACTAAAATATAAGTCTCGAGGGGCTCCTCATTAAGCTGAATATGTTACTGGTCCAATAGTTGCTGGGGTGGAAGCTGAGGGAGTTCTGTGTGGTAAGCTTGTTTTGAGCAGTGTCTTTGAATTAGGAGAGGATTCTTGGCTGGAATTGTGGAAAAGACGGGAGAAATACGGTCAGCTGATTTCACATGTTGAGTTTTGGTGCTGACCAAAAGGTGCGTGCTTACTGGTTTGTGAGCTCTGAATTTCTCTAGAGCTTGGTATTCTGATTGGAACTTGTACCAAATTTGTGTAGAAAGAATATATGGTATAGTGGAAAAAACAAAACAAACTTTAGAAATCCAGAGCCAATCTCTTTTTTATGCCACTAATTAGGACTTTGGAATACCACTCAATTCGTTTGTAGGTTAGTTTTCTTGTCTCTAACACAGGTATAATGATATGACCTGCTCTACTCTACTCTTGTAGATAATCACTCCGTTTCTTAATTCAGCAAATATTTTTGAAGACCTTATTTTGTCCTAGACACTCTTCTAGGCATGGGGGTTGGAGTACACCAACTGAATAAAATAGAGTTTAATGTTCCTGTGGGGAAGGTAGATAGCACCTAAATAAATCCATAAGATAGTGAAGAGTTGTTATAAAGAATAAAGCAGTATTAGGTGAGAGAAAGGCACCCCAGAGGATATGAAGTTTTAAAGTAGGAGACTGAGCCAATAAATACCATTTAAAAATATTTTTTCATAATTTTCCATGGGAATTTATTTATAAGATAACAATAACTTACAGGTTTGTAGATTTTATTCCTGTCCTATATAATTACTTTTGTAAAAACATTAGTGCATTATAGTTATACATAATATGGGATTTATTTCAACTTAATCATATGTGCATGGAATATGATTTGCTCCATTTCAGTCCCCAGTACTTCCTCTTTCCCTCCCCTCATCTCTCCCCTTGTTCCCCTTGCTCTACACTACTGAAGTTCCTTCTATTTATTTTTTTAATTAATGATTTATAGATATGCATAAAGGTGAAATTCACTATTGTATACTCATATATGTGCACGCATCATTTGGTCAATTTCATTCCATAGTCCCTACCTTTTCCAATCCCCACTCCTCTGCTCTTATCCCCTTCCTCTATGCTGCTGATCTCCCCTCTATTTTCATGCCCCCCCTCTTTCCTCCTTATTTTGCTCTAGCTTCTGCATAGGAGAGAAAACATTTGACTCTTGACTCTCTGAGTCTGGCTTATTTCACTTATGATTTTCTCCATTTCCATCCACTTATTAGCAAATATCATAATTTCATTCTTTATGGCTGAGTAAAACTCTATAGTGTATATATGCCACATTTTATTGATTCATTCATCTGTTGACAGGCACCTAGGCTGGCTCCATAACTTGACTATTATTATTCAAGTTCTATAACTTGAATTGTGCCGTTATAAACATTTATATGGCTGTATCACTATAGTATGATGATTTTAGTTCTTTTGGATAAATACCAAGGAGTGGGATATCTGGGCAATGTGGTGAGTCTATTCTTATTTTTGGAGGAATGTCCATACCACTTTCCAAAGAGGTTGTACTAATTTGCAGTACCATCAACAACGTGTGAGAATACCTTTTCTCCTATATCCTTGCCACATTTATTACTATTTATATTATTGATGATTGCTATTCTAATTGGAGTGAGAAGAAATCTCCATGTGGTTTTGATTTGCATTTCCCTGATTGCTAAGGATATTGAACACTTTTTCATGTTTTTGTTGTCCATTTATATTTCTTCTTTTGAGAAATGTCTGTTTAGTTCTTTTGCCCGTTTATTAATTGGGTTATTGGTGTAAGTTTTTTTTAGTTCTATGTTTATTAATCTCCTATCAGAGAAGCACTTGCAAAGATTTTCTCCTATAGGCACTCTTTTCACATTCTTGTTTCTTTTATTGTGCAGAAGTATTTTAATTTGATACCATTACTATTTATTCTTGAGCTATAGGGATCTCAGTAAGGACATAATAACTCTGGCTAGAGTTTCAAGGACTGTGTTGAGCAGCAGTGGTGAGAGTAGACATCCTTATCTTATTCCTGATTTTAGAGAAACTTCTTCTTTTTTTTTTTTTTAATTTTTTTTTATTGGTTGTTAAAAACATAAACTTCTTTCAGTTTTTCTCTGTTCAGTATGATGCTGTCTTTGGGTTTGCAACATACAGCCTTTGTGATGTTGAAGTAAGTTCTTTCTCCAGTGTTTTTCACATAAATGAGTGCTGGATTTTGTCAAAGGCTTTTTTTGCATCTATTAAGAAAATCATATGA